GTTTTCCTTTATGATTCAAATGAATGAACGACACTGACGTATAATTCAACATATATATGTGCCTGTATTCAGTCACCAATTTACACTAAAGGAAATGCATTCATATACATCAGACTATAGTTCTTTGAGCAGCTTCACTTGTATTGATAGAGCATTTGTACTGAGTTGTACTGAAGTATATGTTATTATTTATAAAAGAGTTACACACGTTATTTGTCTGCTGTTCTGCTAGCTTTCGAATATGATTGTGAGGTTTTTAATTCTGGGTTAAGTGACTTTACCACTTCACTTTATCACTTCATGCCGCGGAACACGATACACTTTTTATGTTTTTACATTCACTTACAATCACTTAACAGAAATTAAATGAGACAAATCCAATTTTCATGATATTCATTGTTGATTGTTTATCGCTGAGGTCTGATAACTTTTATTGTAAAACTATTTGATGTAATCCCACTGTGTTTTAAACGACATATTTTAAAATTTTCGCTACTTAATCGATAAATCCTTCAGTCCAATTATTCGAATGCTTACTGAGAACCAGAGTGTAGAGTACATAGTCGAATGGTAAATAAAGTGAAACGAAATTGTCTAGATTTCGTTCATGAATTGACTTCAGTTAAAGAACCACTGAAAACCAGAGAGTTCTAGACAGTCGTTTCATCCTTGATTAAGACTACTTAAAGGCACGCACCCACGACCTCAATATTGGTCCAACTCAGAAGCTTCAGTTTATAAGGCGAATTCACACATCATTCAGCCACTGAGAAAGAATCCAATTGTTCATGAATTCTCATTCGTGAAAAAACTAGCGCAATCGCCAACCAATGCAATTAGTAAGTCTCTGTCGTTACACCTAACTTTGTGAACCTCACTGGTCGCAACTTTCGACTAGAAATCAAGACAATTTCCTCCTATAGTAAGTCACTTGTATGGGGGTATTTGGTTAGAAACATTTAAGCACTAAATAACGAGTTTTATACATATATACATATACTTTATCAAAATGCCATCCACAATGGAATTATACTCTACCATAGTGCAGAAGTACTATTCTCATATAACAGAGCAGTTTGACCGCATTCTATTTATTCTAATTATTTAGGTCTTCTAACCCTGATAATAACCCTGATCTTTCCTGAACCTAACCCTGAAGTGAAAATATCCCTAAATAAACTGTAATCTAACTCGAATCAACCCTAATGTCGCCTTTATTAGGTTAATCTAACCCTAACTTGTCCTTGGCTTAAAGCGTAATCTTTACCAAACCTAAGCTGAAACGTGCCGAAAATCCCATTTAATAGCATACCACTTCGATGGGCATAATTTATTGATGATGACAGCTTGATTTGCCAGTGAGCATTTCAAGGTCATTAGTGCGGTCGAACTTCATTGGTAGTTAGTGGTGCTTAAAGTTTAATTTGTCCGAAACTTATCATTTTGAAGCTATATTTCTCCTTAGTTGAACTGTTTCACTCAAAATCTAGAGAATTTTCGGTTTTCTTTCTTGGCGATATGATGTCATGGTTTTGTCAAATAGAAAAACGTGCTGAGTTATGCTCAGTGTTACCTACTATCCATCAGTTCCTAAAATGAACTTGTAAGGAATTCTTTAATTCATAAAATATTATTGCAACATTTCACAGATGGTAAAAGCTTTGATCAGTACTCAATTTAAAAAATGTGAATAAATGAACAGAAAGCCAATATAAGATGAAAACAGAAGAACAATTGTGGTAATTTAGAGCATCAATCACTTAAAACTTTATGAATAATTAAAGCTGGTGAACACAGTGAAAATTAAATAAAATCGAAATGTGTGACGTTAGTGCATAAAATAATTAGAAAAATGTTCAACATGCATGCATAATTTTGACTCTTTAACTCATAAGCTAACCACTTGTCCTCTTCGATATAGAAGGAGACAAAAAATTTTAGGTGGACGAACTGAAATCTGATGAATAATTGAATACAGTCAGGTGGTGATAAGACATAACTGTATGGAACTCGTACCTTATTTTATTTGACTTGTATATAATCATGTCGGTAGACATTTCCCTACACGACTAGACACAGTTTATGTAAAGTACGAGAGGTAAATTACTCCTTAGAAGCAGATGAACTCTTTTGGATAAAGAAAAGTGTTCATTTTAATAAAGATAATCAGAGTGGCAGCTAGTAAATTGGTTTCTCAAGTTATCTTGGAAACCATTAGCCTGCACATCTGGAATGAAATTCCGTATATACTGTAGATACACAAAAATGACATCCTGTTCACTTTTTAATTTAAACAGAATTGTCCATTTCAGAGTTGATTCTCATTCCGCAATTACAGTCTATCTCATTTTGAGAATGAAACCGCTGGAAAGATATATTTGCTGAACTTCTTGTTCTTTTCTCACTTATATCTCATTGTCTACTTATTAATCAGTCTGGATTTTGATTTGGAATTTATCTAAACTACCGATTGTGCAACACTTACATTATATCCATGGTAATGTATAAACCATTTATGAACACTTCAAGTTATTGTGCTCCCATTGATAATTCATGGGTAAAGCCTGAATATAAAAGAAACATGACAAGACAATTATCTGCTTAAGTGACTTGTTAGTTTACCGTTACCAAATGAATTCCTTAGTAGCTTAGAATTTACTTATTTCCAGTTTAAGATGTATATCAGGAAAGGTAGGTAATTGTAAATTGTACAGTTGATAAAATATGACTGGTTAAGGTTACCAGAAATTACTCTACCGCTTCGAATTTATATGATATATGTAAGCTGATGTTAGACTGTTTTAACTGCAGACATTATGATTTAGAGTTGAATTCAAAGTGTCCATGAATCACTTCACAAACATAGATTGTAGTGAACTGGAATCTATCAATGGAAGTTAAGTAGTCACGAATCCAAATAATGTTATTAATCAGGTGTTCACTAGACAAGGCGCCTGGTTTCTAAACAATATGTCAAGGGTTTTAATCTCCTTCTCCACTTACCGAGTCTTGGACAACCAGTTAGTATCATTCATACTCAGATAATAAGTGTGGGTCACTGTCAGTCATATGGAAATGTAATTCGTCACTAAATAACACTCCCCATCCGCATTGTCATCTAATATTTTAACCATCACTGAAAAGAATAATACATAATATGACAAATTAAAGTGATGAGCAGAATGAGTGAGTAAATCTTCTTCCAGATATCGATTTTATTGGGATATAATGCAGTCCAAGGTGAACCTTTTTACTAAGTGATATAGACAGAAAGGGCCATTGAAAATTGCAGTGTATGGGGTAGGCGTTTTTATTATAGTTTGAGAAGACTCAGCTGTGTATGCTCACAATGCTTTAGAGGTTGAATCGAAGACACTTAGCTTACAAGGAGAGTATAGCGTGGTAATACCACTAAGTAACAATCCAATAGCTTATTAATTCTGATTTGCATCGGTTCTCAGCAGGGAATTACATTCCTCCAGTGTCACTCAGTAAGTACTGATCACCATAGTTGGCCTGATGAACAGAATTTCTCAATAATATCTACAAAAATCCACCTTAGAGCTACTGATAAAAACACGAATATAATTCAAATCTTAAGTTTGCTGAGATTTCTAAGTAGATTATGCTAAGGGGTGAAGGTGGGTACCAACCGCATAATAGTCCCTAGACAAGACAATACAGCCATCTGATATTCTATATTTTTTGGTGACGCCCAAAACGATTTCACGTAATTTTGTATTATGCACTATCTAGCCATTCGCATTTCATAACAGTTATCTCTAAACTGTACGGAAAATAAATTAAAATCAATTCAGGAGTCTTTTTATGACTACTACAGACATAGAGAAAAGATGTGTGATAGTAGATGTGTTACTCATTTATAATCCTCTTGTAAATAACACTGAATATGATACTCTATAGGATAACGTGAGACTCATTCACTTAATGACACTCAGTTCATCTACTCAACAGTTGTTCGTATATTTCTACCTAAAGGAAACTACATTTTCATTGACTGTCAGTTTACTAAGTTTCATCTCCCGCTGATCAGTGATACTGTGGCCTAGAATACAGTGGTCATGATACTATCTGTATTCTGTACAGTATTCAGTGGTGAAGATGTGAAGGCCAAAACCAACAAAGTGGCTGTAGAAGCAGCGAGGACAGGACTCCAGGTGAGCATAGAGAAGACAGAGGTGATGAAGACACTCACACTCGAGCAAGAACAACCAGCACCAGTCACCATCAACAGCAGAGATTTGACAGAAGTTACTTCCTTCACTTACCTAGGAAGCATCATTCCAGCCACAGGCGATGAGCACAGATGAGGATGTGAAAATCAGAATCAGAATGACGAGGCAGACCTTCATCACTCTAAAATCTTCTGCACTAACTTAGTACGAAGAAAGCGATTCGGATTATTAACGCAAATGTGAAGTCGTTCCTAATAATGGGTCTGAAACTTTGCATTCGCGTCAGGAAAAGCATTTCCAACAGATTAAAGACTTCTAACAACAGCTGCCATCCCTCTATACTGAAGATAAAACGGTCAGCAAGAATAAGCAATAGGCAACTGTAATTTCAAATCAACTAAGGGCCGCTTGTTCAACAAATATGCCGGAGAAAACGATGCTGGATTGGTCATATACGCCAGGCCATCACTCGAGTGGAATCCCAATGGGAATCGACGAGTGGGCCGTCAGTGCGAGGATAACATGGAGATCCTATGACGAGGAGGAGATTAGAGATTATGGTTAACCTCATGACTAGCTGAAGAGGACAGCCGAAAACAGAACAAAGTGCAGGTATGTTGTTGAAGGCCTTTGTCCACTCGGAACCCGACGGAATAATACTAATATAATAATTCAACGGTGAATAGTTATCTTTTGTTACTTTCATACTCTGTCTAACTATTACTCCTTCGCTTGGATCATAATACTTCTCCAAAAAGTAGGTTGCTGTGTTTAACGCAAAACAAAATTGACCGTCAAATGTAAACCATAGACCAACACTTTCATTATCATAATTATCATCAGTAGTATAGATATAATCAAAATCAAAAGTTATTGCGTATTTTACATTTCAAATAGTCATTTTTCAAAGTTCTTTTTTCTCTATTAAATGACGATTGTGTTTGTTTGATTATGTGTTTTTCTATTTTATTTTAGCGTGTAATTAACTCCGAATTGTATTGCACATCATTATCAACCCAAAAATCCTCTACGTTTGCCAATCATTCCTCGTCGTTTCGGTCTCAATCCAGCGAAGGAGGCTATACACGCACGCATAGATAAAGAAGACACAACAAAAAATGATACGATTAGAAGAGTAAAATCAGTTGAACATGAACTTTTTGCTTCAATAAAGCGACATGTAACAATCACGCTTTCAATAGGAGTATTTCATTCAATTATCTACTCATTTTAATCACATAAATTGTTCAGAGATAAGTCGGCTGATTTATCTCATTTAGAAAACTTTTTAGAAAAGAATTTTGTAAAATTATTTTTCTTAGCAAGAATATTTCTTCGCCTAATGCTTTGAAATGTAGGTTTATTTGTGATTGACTAACACTGTTACACCTAGAAACTTAGTTTTGAAATTAATAAATTTTCGTTCAAACTGTCTTCCCTCTCGCCTATTTTAGTAATTTCATTGATGCACTTATACTGGTTCATTGGAGCATAAAATTGCGTGAAAGTGGTAAATGTGGCAGGATGAAGCTTTTAAGTTTTATTCCAGCATAAAAGGCTTCACTGTGAACGAAATGTCTATCATATCATATGGCTATGGTATAAAAAAAGCTGGCTGCTAACTTTCATGAGAGTGGAGAAAAAAGAAAAGACATTTCAGTTGACCTGTCAATCACTTGGAGTAACGAAATGCTCACTTTTAAAAAAGCGAACTTTGATGCAAAAAAAGGCACGCACACACACACTTGAGGTGTCATTATGAGTCGTTTTCTTTTTCTCAGAAACATTTATTTATCTCTTAAAATAAATTAATCATAAGATTCGACATTCATTTCGAAATAAAGAAGTATGGCTGGCCAGCTAAATTGCATAGGCGGAGGATTACGGTTAGCTTACATGAATTAGTTATTTTTATAGTTATCAGTAAAACATTTGACTATTGAGAGAAATGCAGGGAACTAGCTGAATAAAAATACAAGCTATATTTTCACTACCAACTGACATCATTTAGAGAACCGTTGAATATCATGCGGTCATTAAGACCAATGTTGTTTCAGTTAACAGTATTCCCTCTCGTGTACCTACTGGGGTGAACACATTGAAACTTACCCACCGGGACGGAATCCGTACAAACCAGCACCTGAAAATCAGCGGAACTGTTAATTTATGGCTAACTAAAGGATGGAATTACTGGAGTTGTAGTGAAAAGTCATGATTGGTGGGGTCTCGTCACTTTGAATGTACAGAATTATACTTCACAATGACAGTTATTAGTAGTGGCTCTATATTTCACGAATTACCAAAAGTTGAAATTTGTAGTCCATTACGTAGTGTTCCATAGGCTGAATATTAAGATGCTGACTTTGTTAAATGGAGGTCGTAAGTTCGATCGCCAATGAAGAAACTGGTGCTTACTGCTACAAAGTCCCAAAATAGGACGAAATATCTATTTATTACTACCTGTTCTTCAATGGCTTTCTAACTGATATCAGTTTCAGAGGGCATTCAACTTGAAATTAGCCAGAACTACTTCATAATTTATTTTATTGTGTCATTTGATAAAAAACTACAAGGAAATAGTTGTTATACTTAATTTCATTGAATTCATATGAAATAACTTAGGTTTTCGGACCTAAAAACACTTGGCCAGCACCAGTGTTAGAAAAAACTACTGTTCATCCTTGTTTTATTCTATCTGCACTATTGCCAACAAGGTGCACAAGCACACAGTTAGATAAGATCCGCATGCAAAGTCGTGCTTAAAAAATATACACAAAACTGGGTCACAAAAGCATAACTAATACAAACTGGAGAATGCAATTAGTAGTTGAATCTACACAACACATCTGCGTCTTCAACACACTCATATATATATGCCTTTTTTAGATGCGTCAGGGGTTTGGCCGTCGGATGCTCGCCAACCACGGAAGTGATCGGGAGTTCGATCCTCAGCCGACGCTCTTCTAAACCTCGCTGGGCCAGTAGTAAGGCCTGTAAAGAGGAAAGGTTGGGCGTGAGGCTAGTAACCCCACCCCGCAACAATAAAATTACTACTTCCAAAACCTCTAGCTTAGAGCCCCATATATACTATACACTGAGATTAATTAGAGAGAACTTCCAATCACCCGCAGATTTTTACAGCCAAGTCGTGCTAATCTCAGAGTTGGATATATGTTTTATATATATGGCAGGTAGGCATTCCATTTATTATTTCACTTAAGCTCACCAATGGACTTTATTACCTAATAAATTTTTCCTATAGAGGTCACGATACATGACTAATTTTCAAGGATAACAATGCTGAGGCTAGCGGTGGAAAATTCACAATTATCCTACTTCGAATATATTAATTATCAGTTTACAAATAGTCATTACATAATAATATTACATTTCATAGGCCTATTACTTTCATTAGTTTCCTCAACAATTTGTGCGTTGTTACTACTTCTGATTCCTCAAAAAACCTTAATTAGCGATTACAGATTGAAAATCAATATTTTTAGGGTTAACGACTGACACTTCAGTCTATTTGTATCAGAAACAGTTAGTCATCGACTTACTTTATTCCAACCCATTATAAAAATATATGTGCGACCTGAAGGAAAGTCACGTTTTCAAATTCTGAACTCTTAACAGTGAGCATCCTAGCATATGACCGGATTATGTAAGCAGAATGGGCCCTGAATAACGGCCGACATAGCCGCCATAAACTTAAGTTCTCATGTGTGATACCAAGTGAATCCTCCCAGTATACAAAACTAAACTGCGGAGCACTTATACAATTTCATGTTGGGAATGGTTAGCCCGTGAATGCTCGTCTTTTTATCTCTAATTAGTAGTTTGTTATATGCAGCAGAATAAGCAGATGATGGTCAAAATTATAAATAAATAAAAACTGGCAAATATTACAGTAAAGGGAATATACTGACGAATAGTGATATAAGCGTCAAGATAGATTTCCAAATGGAGTATCATTATGCAGAGATATTTGACTGATGTGTCGTATTTGAGATATAACATTCATCCTTGGTCCCATAACTACTGATAACTATCAGCGATTAAACGCCTTAAGCCTGGTCAAGTTTAAATCCAGTCAACTTAATTCATTCAAGATGGTGATGACTTGGATGATGACATCCACATAGAAATATAGAGAATCACTTCAATTATGTAGGACAGTCACTTCAGAACTTTTATTCACTTTGCCCAGGAGTCGAATGATGTGAACTCCCTTCTAAGTGATGAAAAAACTTCATTGTTTACTAAATAAACTCAATTAAATACCCAGATTTCATTAAATATCTTATTAATTGTCTCATATAATACATAAACACTAAATATTACTTACAAAGACAATCTGACAGTTGTCCTAGTGTATCAGAAATTCCTTCACACCTTTCACAAACACTTTGAAGTTCTGCGTTTGAACAACATTCGTCTCCGCTGAATTGTCGTGTCAAACTACATTGTCTAAAATAATGAAATACAAATTTGTCGAAAGCATTGAACTATAAAATACATACGTTAAATTATAAACGTTGATTCGGATGATTTGTGATAAGCTATTATGAATCACCACTTTTATTTTTTCAGTCAGTTTAGGGATGGTAGGGCTCCTTGAACTATGTAATGTGGCTTGAGGTAACCAGGAGGAAATCTTATAACTAAGTTTCACGCCTATTGGTACCGGGAAGGCGTATCTGCAGACGTTTGTCGAACCAAATGATTCCCCCCTCTGAGAATAATACCCCCGTCATCCAAAGCTAGATTGAAAAACGTCACCACTTCGCTACTCCGTACTGAGGTGACGAACTACCTAGCTAACTGACCATAGTGCAAACCTAAGTGGTACAATTCAATCAGTACCAACTCTAAGGACCAGACGCATAAAATGGTTACTCCTTAGTGGCCAGTTAATATACTCCGCAGATATTGTAGCCTATGTTTCACAACAGAAAATCCGAGTAGAATTTATTCCCCTAGCGTTTCTTGGAGTAGGAAATTAGTATACAGTAAAGCTGATTGCTCAGAAACTAGTAAAAAGTTGTCAGCTTTCGTCAACTTCTTTTTAACAGGATGCTACTGATATTACTTGTTTCCATGTTTTTTCCTTATCTGCATTTCATCAGACTTTATTGTTGCCTACCACTGTTATGGTTAACAAATTAAATGACATTCATATTCTACCTCTAAATTCCTGTTGTTGGTTACATTAACTAAAGTTTTAGTCAGTGTATCTTGGGACCATTTCGTGAACATGGTTCTAAGCGACATTTCTGGTCGTAATGATTGACATCAATTGCCACTTTAACCCAGCTCTGGAGAGCTTGGATAGCCAGCTGGTTTCGCCTGGGATACAAACTTCATCTGCATTCAAGTAATCAACGATTTCGTCTATTACTGTTCAACACCATGACTATTTCGTATGGAAGTGTACGATGTTTAAACAAAAATTCTATGAAGAAATATTCACTTAAAAACTTACTCGCAAGCACCTATATTGCACTCTAATATTCGTGTACAGTCTGTAGAAGACAGTAAAGTTGCCAAACACACACAAAACACCATAAAACCTTCTATTCTTACGACAAACATATTGTTATTGCAACCAAATAATCTCCACAAACGGTTCGTGAAACTATAAACAAAATCAAAATAGCTGAAATTAGAAATCGTTCTGTTATAAAAATCAATAAATAATAAATAAATTCTACTTACATCACTGATAAATTCCAAAATTTTATGTTAAATGATATCTTACTATCATGGTAAACACATTAGAGAAACAAGAGACGTATGTTAGTAAGTAAACTTTAGCATTTTCGATCAGTAAACATCGGCCTGCAGTCTTCAGTTTGAAATTAATACAGTTCATCACTCATTAGCTAGTGCAAGTTCACAAAGCGTCTTTATGGAGGTTAATTTTGACTTAATCAACGTATACTGAACCAGTCAGGAGTGTTAGTTTTAAATCCCGAAACAACCATAACTTCCCTTCTTCTTTATCAGTGACCTGAAGAACGAATGGTGAGTTAAGCAAGGCATCCTGTGAACGGAATTCAAACACTTCGATTGTTATCCTTGTTCACTTTATCTCACTTAGCCAGCTAACCTCTGTTGTGACAAAAACGTCTTCAGAGGAATGTTTCTATGCTGTTAAAAACTGTATTGCCATGTTGTTTGCTTTCCTGTAACCAATGATGTGTTTTTTAACCTGTTTGAAGTTCATAATCAATCTGTAAATAAATATCTCCTGAGGTACTCATATAGTGATTCGTTCACCCTAAAAACTTTCCTGTTGGAAATAGATCAGTATTAACCTCAACAGAAATAATCAGTTTATTGGTTTAAATTTTAGCCTCACTGTTGATTAAATCCAACTTCTTTTCTGTGCAGAAGTTTAGATGAATTTCCGGTGGACTGAATAACCTAAGATAACATATAGATGCTGTATGATTTTCTGTTTTCTACAGTGTATCTCCAAAATTATTATTCGACATGAAAAAGTGAAATTTTCACCAACTGTCATTTTTGTTGTATACTGACCTAACTAATTGTTTATTATAGCTTGATTCCACATAGTATTTTGGTACAAGCATTTAATTTTCAGCATGTGATATCGGTAGCCTGAATTTTGCAGGCCGACCATTAATATCAGGTGTGCGTCTGCTGAGGATCGAACCCCAGACTATGTGTATGGTCCGGGAGCATCCTAACCACTGTGCCACCGACGCACAAGAACTACCGATTTCAAGTGGCCATCGAAAACCAGGAAGTAATAGGAAGTTGTTTGTTTCAATTTGTGAGCCTATAATATATCTGTGAAACCACCAGGAGGATGAATTCTGAATTCTTAGGCTACAATAGTATTGAAGCTAAATGCACCATTAACCCTAAGTTCTATCAGCTGGTGACGCGAGTGCATTATCTGCTTAGAAAAGGATGGTGTTAATATATGTATATATATATGCACAGTGATCTAGGTGATTAATTGTAGTGAGACATTTTTGCATAAGGAGCTCCAACCCAGATGATCATACAACTTTCTTCTCAAACTGTTCTTTTTTCCTTCTGAATTCATTAAACCTTTCATTAGTCAGTAAGCAATTTCCAAAAACGTAGAAGCATTTGAAATTTTCAAATTCTTCTTCGAACCCAACTCGCTGATCAGTTTAAACAAAAATAAAATAATTCATGTCCAATAACGCGTTTTATTTGAAAATTAATTAGCTCATTACGTCTCTGTTCTATACAACTTGTTTTATTCAATTATCAAAGTTAGTGAGTTGCAAAATTCCCACCTTTATCAATCTTCATGCAAATGAATTTCATTATCATTTAATCTCATACCTTATTATTCAAAAGAAATACAATTTTTAATATTCAATTGGAAAGGCGATTTGACAGTGTTGATCATGTGTGCATATTTTAATCATATATAATAATATAATATAAGAGTAAAATTTTGGCAGTATGGTAGAATATAATTCCATATTAGACTGGTTTATTTGACATAACACAATAACATAGTGTTGATAATTGAATGAAATTTTTGCGCATAATTTATCCACACGTATTCTTAAATTGCCTTATGTATGGCTTTACTCCCTTCTACTTTTTAATGCAATGAGGACAAGTGCTTCGTTGTGTCTAGTTCATCTATTTATTGCTGACTGCATGAGCAAAACTAACCTCTCTCTCCACCTGATTATATCACTGTCGGTTACTTTACTTTATCTCACACGTTTGTGTGACTATATACAAGCAAATTCATTGCAGTGGCCTAGCTTTTCTATAGATTACTTGAATTAGTGGGGTCAGCCACACCGGATGCAGCTAAATTATTATGCACCGATCTTTCGTTTTTACTCATTTATGATATGCTGAATGTTATATGAGGTGTTTCTGGTTTAAGACATAGTGGAAGCATGTATGGAACCTAAGCAGTTTTATAAACACTATCCTGTTATCTGAAAATTAGTATGGAATTATAGCACAGCTTAATTTATACAGTGGCTTTACTGTTCACCTGCCCAGCAAAACTTGATAACCTTCCCGTATTCAGTTCCTGTGCGTTATAAACCTCAAGAGAAGGACACGCATAAGATGAACAGGCTACCGGTGAAGCCTGTTTTTTTCAAGAATTGATTTGTAAGGATTTGTTTTGTTTTTACTAGTTTGACCACGGATTGATATCAATTAGACAACCATTGAAAACCAGCCACAGGGAGTGCTGGACAGCTGTTTCCTCCTAGTTTCGCAATCATCGGCAGTAGTCACCCACTAGGTTCGAACCCACGACCCTCCGGTTACAAGGCAAGCCCGTACACAATTCAGCCACTGGGACCCGATTTAATGGCCAGTCAGTGCATGAATTCTAGCTCCTACAAATTCGTGATTTAACGTGACCACCAACCAATGTCACCGGTGGGACATTGAATCGGGTCCCAGTGACTGAATGGTATACGAGCTTGCCTTGTAACCGGTAGGTCCTGGTTTCGAACCCCCTCAGGTGGTTGCGTACTGCTGATGATCCCCAAACTAGGATTCAACAACTTTCCAGTACTCCTGTGCTGGTTTTCAATGGTTCTCTAACTGATATCAATCCATGGCCAAACTCGAAGTCTGTTTGTTAAGATTGGGAAAGGCACATTCAAATGTAAGTGGGAGCATGACTTTCCCAAAGATCACAAAACAATACCAATAATGAGTAGTAGGAAAAATAAAACCTAGGCCCTAAGTGGTAACTTATAAACTGATACTTAGATCAGAAACAACAGATTAGAATAAGTGAACGATATATTCCCATATTGAGTCATACGAAAAAGGTATAAACAGCGAAGAAAATTTTCTTTTCGATGATTTATTTTTATAAGCTGCACAATCGTAATTGCATTTACAAAAACATCATTAGACCAATCAAATATCGGTAAAATTTGTCCTCGAAAAACGTATTACGTAATGTAAGATGTAACCTAGATGCGGTGACTAATTGAAAGTTGGAAAAGATGCAGAAGTTGGCATGATGTAATACGTGTCAGAAAATAATTAATCAGTATGGTTGCGAAGAGTGGACAGGAACTAGCAGAAAGACGATAGAGTGTTTTTTAATAAAATCTGCAGGAAAACGCAGTGTTACTAATAAAGAGTAACATAGTGATAATAAATTATTTATAATCCCTCAAATTAAAGCTGATATTTACCTATTTTTCCAGTTGTCTCAGAGTAAAAACAATGTCTTTAGGTCATAGAAAACTGTCTCATTAGAAAAAAGATCTTTCTCTCTTGGATGTCACTTTAAAGCTGCACGATCGCACATAGTGTACACATACAATTTGCTCGGTAGTAAGGATGAGGAAGATTTGCAGAATTTAGTGGATTTCATTTAGAATGAATTACACTAAAACTTTTTTCTTCCTAGAAGACAACTTAAGTTGGTGAGGTTCTTGTTTCACGATATGCAGCTGAAGCAATATGGATCAACTTATATATTCTCACTCATGGAAAATATTTGACGAACTAGCATTTAAATGAGACTAGCTGATGAACTGCGAGCGCCCTATTTCATCGGTTGCTAAAGCTTTGAGGCTGGATTTTTGAAGGTAGCTACCTACAATCACCTGGTTCTTTAAAACTAATAGTTTGCTGCATAAATGAAGTAGAAATTTCACACTGATAAGACTTAAGTTTCTTCATTTTCTGCATCCACTGTTTTACGTTTTATTGAGAAACATCTCAGATTTTTTCATACTCTCACTCTCTTGATATGCGAAAATGTTTCTCATCAAGGAAGACTGAGTGACTATTACCCAAACGTTAGGTAAATAACTTTAGTTTAGTCTCCAAAAGATAATTTGTAATTTGCATCTCTATTTCAAACAATGAGACAGTACTTGTTTGTTTGTTGGTCTTTTTGTTCCAGCTACATGACTTACAACAACTAGGTTACAGTTCTGAGATCAAACAAAATTTATCTGATCGTTGAAATATTGCATAGTATTGATTTTATTAGCTAGAAGGACTAATTGACTGATATATTTTCACTGGAAGTAATCTTATCCTCTCAGTAAATGGTTCATTTTCTGACATTTTCTTTGTTTGTTTTTCGCTGTTTCTTTTTTTCTAAACGTTTACTTGTCAAGTGATCCCAATATTGATAAATAGAAAAATGAGTGATTAAGTTTCTAAATGACGACCAAACTAATTTATCTGTCGTAAACAGGATGCTCCTTTTGTCTTATGTCATAGTTTAAAAGCGTTTCACATTGTTGAAAATAAAAAATAATAAAACTACTTCTTTATCTACGAAGTAAAACTCAAAATGACTGAAATGCATTTTACCATTTTTTAGAAATTCACCTCAATTCACATTGAAGGCATTTTTCCTATTCATGCTTAGTTGATTTTAAATTTTCGCAAGTTGAATTCAATTTTCAATAATACAGTTAATATTGTTGTTTGTAGATTAATCATTCCCATTTGGAACAAAAAGATTATTTGCCAACTTATGCTGTAATTAATGAGTTATTTTTATGTACTTGGAGATTTAGAAGCCATATGTTGTCATTATTATTTTGAAAAATGTATTGTCAGTTAGATAATATAAGCGTTTTACCTAAAATTTCTTCTCAGGTTGAAATTAAACTTCCAGATACTCTAGTATCATGTAAAATATTGTTAACAATGCAGCTTTATTCACATCTGAACTTAGGCACTGAGGAAGTTATCCAAGTTGAATGATTCTGAAACACCAATTAGGCAAGCATCTGTCTCAGAGGACAATTCTATGAGATGCATAGTCCTCCAACCCCCATTCGGGTCGTCAGTATGTCTGGTATTTATCAAAAAATTAGATTTCTTGGGCTGTTGATAAACGCTTCCAAGATCCAAGGTAGTTTGGTGCCTGTGTTGTCTTGATTTCTTTCATCAGCTCCTTCAAAGCTACTATCCTAACCAGTAAGTGGAGACATATTCCAGTATTCAACATCATGTCTTGTACTTTCCATTTTCATGAAATATGTATCAATTTAAGATTTAAAGCATTTTTACCTAACTACTGTCGCCATTTGCGATGTTTGAAACTTTTACTAAATTACCATAAAAAAGGAATTCATACTTTTGAAGGCTATCTGACGTGTTTGACTAATTTTCTAAGATAAAGTTGTCATCAAATGTAACAACTACAAACATGTATATAGTTATCTAGATGGAGTTTAAAAGTAAGTTATCCTAATGTTTACTTGCTGTGAAGGAAAATTTATAATCAGAAATTGGAATCGATATGTTACAGGGAGATGCGAGTTACACGTATGTAGAAAGACGATTTCAGTGGTGATGCATTTTCTCCGCCGAGTAGCTTAGTGACATAAATTGCATTGGCATTTAAAACAAAATCATCAGGACTAATTACCAGTTGCTCTACAATTGACTTCACCAATAAACACTATGATAGTGACGCAATCGACGAGGTTGTGAAATACATAAAGAATAATAATGAAGCTATTGTTGAGAACTTCAAATGCCCAATCCAGATTATCCCAGGAAGGGGGAAAACCGTCTACAGACACATTCTGAAGTATCACAGGTCAACTAAGTAGGAGGTAGTTAGTATGTTTTTTCCTGAACTAGACGTGAAAGATGTTACTCAGTATGACAGTGAAAGCTTCAGGATAACACCAGAAAATCTACTGACATGACATTCAATATTTTATTCCACAGCTGAACTTTTTAACTAATCCTGAAAGTTATAGATAATTTATTTAGAATCGTACTCATTTAGGTATATATAATTTCAAGGGGAGGGAGATAGCCACTCAAATGCAATGACATCGCCTGAAGAATTAACTGTGACCATCGAGTACTGTATAACCATCTTGTATGAGTAGAATATATTTTACTATAAATGCGCCAGCAAATTTAAGTAGAATCAAGTATACCTTCACTCAACTCGACCTTAGGTGTTTCAGAATTCATCATCAAATTGTATATCAGCTGACTATGCTTCAGAACTTTGGTTGCTATATGATATAACAGAACTGTTATTCAACGCCATGAATGAAATCTTAGAGCTACTATATTCACTAATGGTATATTATGAGATGACAGGTGTTTCTCTGGAGACTAATTGAAATCTAGAATATTAAAATGCTACACATAATTAATTAATTAATAAGGACCTTTTTAGTGTACAAGATTCGCTTAGTTTTTCTCTATTATCAAGTATTTTAATCATTGAGAAATTCAAAACTTTTGTCAAAATGTCAAAACTCTGCCCTTATCCGAGATGAAAGGATTACTCTACAACTGACAACTATGGTTAGAGATAATGTAATGTTAATTAACTGTCATAATGGTGAAAAAGACAGTTTCATTTTATTTTTTGTTAGCGTAAGGTAAGCTTTTAATTAGTTAAGATTTCATTCAACTGTGGAATAATTATTTATTCCTAATTAATTTCCCAAAAGGAATAGGAAACCAATTACGATGAGAAAATGCCATATTTTATTTATACATCTGCTAAAAATCCCGACTAACTGCTGTCAGTCATAATCAGTGCATAGCGTTAACCAGAATGCGGTAGAATTTATACAGTTCATCCGGTTTATTGAATGTAAAGGAAAGGAATAATTATTAGAGATAAAGGTTAACTTGCTTTATAGACAGTCAGCTGAAGTATACTTTATCTGGGTAGTCAGAAGAAACTCTTCCGTAATTTAGATTTACTTCCTACTTCAGACAGTACCTTCCTATTGCGCATCGGTTGTACAGCGGTTGGGACCCTCGCTAACCATACGCATGGTTCTGGGTTCAATCCCCGGCCGACGCACACCTGATATCAATAGTTACCCTGCTACCGATATCACATTCTGAAAATTCCGTAGCTGTACAAAAATGCTGTGTGGAATCAAGCTATAATAAATAATAAATAAATTTTTTAAATGTATTCCAGGCTTTTTGCAGCAATACAAAGCTTAGCACATAATGTATCTTATTAATGGACCAATATGGATGTGTTATGCATACGTTACAAAGAGTTTATCAAACCGAGGCTGGTTTTGTCATCAACTAACGTCAACAAAGGAATCCTCAAAAATTAGGAAACATAGGTGAGACACTGATCTTTTCTTTCGATAGCCAAGTTTAACCGTGTTTTACTACACTATCGAAACTAACTGGCCTGTAATTTTCAATTTCTTTCCATCGCCATTTTTATTGATAAAGTATTTATCTTCACAAAAATTTGGTACACTCATTTAGGAATTTTACAATCTAATTTTGAATTGGATATGGACTTTCAAGGAGTTATAAGTTATAATGAAATATCTACCCAAGAATCCTAGAGTTCAGGGGCTCTATAGCTTCTATCATTTGGTGATTAAGTCTCTTTGAAAATCAACTTAATCTACATATCGCCTAAATGTCTGGTAAACATCATCTCATCATCATACAATCTGTTAAACTTCTAAAACGGATTTGTGATATACCTTCACTGAAACCTCTCTTGAAAATGACAATGTATTCACTTTCTGTTTTTTTTTCAAACACTTTTACTTCATTCGATAGTAACAACAACAACATCAAAAATGTACCATACTGAAGAAGAAACACTCTCATGATTTTCTTCTAGATGTGGTGATCAATGTATTGGAACAAAACTGATTAATTAGTTTGTTGGTTCTAAGTGAATCCTGTCTGCATAATTCAGTGAAAGACCTACATTGATATAAACAGGATAGTACAAGTATTCCTATAATATATTAAGGAAAACGGAAATTGTCACCATCACCACCTTCATCACATTTGTGATTATTATTATTATTATGAGAATGAGTAATATACATAAATGCATAATTGTTTCAGAAATCCGGAAATTTTCGTCCTTTTAATTTATGATCATTAATTTCACGTGTCACCTAATTCATTTTTGTTTAGAAGTTTTGAGAAATAAGTAAAAACAAGGAGAAGGAAAACATTTTGTTCAATTTTAACTAATGTTAAGTTACTCATTGATGAATATGAAGAAAGAAAAAAGTCTTTAGAAAAGCTGTTGTGATATTCCATGGAAAACTTTGTAATCAACAGATATGTTTATACTTCATTGTGTTATTGACAACAGTCTAGCACACTGCTATATTCAAATAGTTTGTGAGTTAAGGTTTTGAATAGTGAACCCCACTCCCATGTGTACAAGAGTTTAATTAATGAATACTCGGAAGATGAAGATCATCTAACAAGATGTAAGCAGAAGAAACATCATCCTAAAATAATTTTGATTTAATTGTGCCCTATCAGAATAAATTTTACAATGCATAGGTTATCCATACTTCAAACAAAGGTTGACTAATCATAAAGGCAAAGACTCTTATATATCCAACGACTTCTGTGGATAACGCTAGGACTTCGCTTGCTTAGATATCTGATGTCATTATCTCTGTTATCTTAGTCTAATGGATTACTACGTTTAAATGTTAAACAGAGAAAGATATCTCTCTTACAAAATAAGATCTTAGGAGTTGAGCAGATTAACAAGGCGTTTGAGATTTGCGCTAAGGATACCATAAAAGTACCCCCTTTCAATAACTCTACTTTGTTTAGTTTCACTGCTATATCACCCTAATTTATGTTTCTGTTGCATTCATTTTCTGTTGAGATATTCATTTTCCCTACTTTTAAAGAAAAAGGATATTTATATTCATTTATTTGCTTAAGTTGTTTTTTGCTGCCCATTATCACCGATGATATTCTTAATTGTGGTGGACTGGATTGTGCGTCAGACTGTTGGGGGCCAGGAGTCAAAAATACGCTGAACCACCTTTAAGAAGACTCTAAAAGATCTGGATTTCGCAGATGATATATGTCTAATGTAACATTAACTAAAAGACTTACAGGCGAAAAGCAGCAAACTGACTGGAGAGTCACCGATAACAGGACTCCAAGTGAGCATAGAGAAGACAAAGGTGATGAAGATAACCAAAGAACAGCAACAGCAACAACAACCAGCATCAATCACCATCAATGGGAGAGATTTAACAGAGGTGACCTCCTTCACTTATCTGGCTAAGAAGCATCGTTTCAACTACAGGCAGAACGGATGAAGACATCAAAGTCAACCAGACAGAATCGGAAAGGCAAGATATGCCTTCATCAACTTGAAACCAGTTTGAAAATCTTCTGCACCATACCTGAACATAAGGGACAAGAATCGGATTTTCAACACAAATGTGAAGTCGATCAGTTACTTCTTCTATACGTGTCAGAAACTTAGCCAGCATGCTATAGATCAACGATTGCCGCCTTCACTGGTTCCGTATTGAAGATCAAATAGCCAACCGGAAATAATTAGTGACAAGAAACTCTGCATTGGAGCAAAACGTCCAAGAGCCTACCGCTCAACGAATATGTTGTATAAAATGGAGACGGATCGGGCATACATTGAGAAAACCGTCGAATGACATCGCGCTCATTGCAGGCTATCACTCAAGTGGAATCCTAATGGGAAACGATGAGTGAATCGTTGGTATTAAGATGACATGGACGAGATCTTTTGGGGAGGAAAAGATGAGAGATTATGGGCAATTGTGGACCCAGCTGAAGAGGATGGCAGAAAATAGAGGAGAGTGGAGATGTGTTTCTGAAGCCCTGTGTTCCACTCGGAACTCAAGGGAATAATAATAATAAGTTGTTTTTATGGCTTAACAATATATACATATATATATTTGTGTTTTTCAATGAATAAAAAGCAAAATGACATCGTTTTTACTGACGTTTGCAATCCACTGCTAATATCTTTATCAAAATAAAATTAAACTAATATACACAAAATCTCAGATTATATATATATATATGGTAATTGAACCATATATCTTTAATATGAGGCAATTTTATCTTAAATTTTCAAAACATTAAAGCTTGCAAACTACTAAAATGTGTGTACACTCCTTACTGGTTTGGAAGACTTTTGTGTGTCACTCATCAAAACCTCCTTCTTTGATTAAGTATTGCCTAATAAAAAGCGGAGAACTTGTGTGATTTCTGCAAATATCAAAACACTTCTCCTTACCTATTGTATTGTTAACTCTTGTTGAAGAAAGTAGAAATTATCAAGAGAATTGGAATTTGAATTGTTATTTATTATTACTATTTTTTCAAAAGATGTTTATGGAATTGTATACCTTTATCAGGTAAATTATATTTTATGTAGATGAAGATTTTATCATCTCTACATATATATACATATCTTTCTAGTTACCCACAAATAGAATTTTTATGTAGAATGGTTGTGTATAGTTTAGAGAATGGTGGGAATTAATTAATTTTACAGCGGTTTTTATTAATGAGTGATGTCAATCAGAGATAAATAAAAAGTTGAAAATGGCTTCCTAACTGGAATTCAGAAAATTCACCTGGAAAACACAGACATAATAAGCGCTAAATTTATATATATATGCGTCGGTGGCATTGCGGTTAGATGCCCGTCAATCAGGAAGGTAGTCTAGGGTTCGATCTCCGGCCGACGCACTCCCTTACCTCGCTTGGCCAGAAATAAAGCTGATAAAGAAGGAAGGTCGGGCATGAGGCTAGCAAACTCATCCCGTAAAAATAAACACCAGTGCTACCAAAACTTCAAGCCCCTATCTTGAGGCCCTGTGTTCCACTGGGAACGTAAAAGAATAAAATAATAAATAAATAATATATATGGAAGGTTTATGAGGAGTTTAAAGGTTTCGAGATGAAACTGTCTGCTATCTACTTATTCTATAATGACTCTTTAGCGTATGTTAATTCATGATAAACAGTAGTCTAAAATGACTAGTATTTTCAACCAGATATGGTTTACGAGAGGTTTAGAAACAAAAATTACACAGGATTAGGATATAATTGTAAAATAGTTACTTTAAACGAATTATAAATGTGAGCAGAAAGAGCATAGAAACAACTTTAAATTGACTGTTCTTATGACTGAAAAACTGGGGTGAACTGAATGAAGACAGAGAGGGACTAAGAATTACTCACACGGCGAACGAAAAAAATGATCGAAAAAGAACGAAGGAAAAAGACGGAAGCTACGAGAACATACCAAACTAGGTCCATGGTAGTTGTAGAGGTTGGACTAATTTCTTTTGAACACACAGCTCCGGCTTTTCAATGTGTGTGTTCCTATTCTTATTAATCTCTTATCTTGTTTCATGCTAAAACGTTCTCTGAAGATGTTATCTAGAAAGATAACGGAAGCTTCGTAACTAAATCGACCAGCTCAGAGAATACAACTAAATCATAATCAACCACTTGAGCTACAAATCTCCACCATTAAGGTCAATTTTGTTAGCCATGCATAAAATTAGTTTGTCTGGTATATCATACATTTAAACGGTATTATTATGTTGATATACCGTAGGCTAAAAGTTACAAGCTAATATGATTTTATTGCTTCCTGTCCTTTGACTTTTTTATTAGTGAGGTTTTCCATACACTAGGTAGTGGCAATGAATTTCTGCTTCTCTCGTTAAATTTTCATCCTATGAACTGAAATGTCTCAGTGATGAAATCCTCTTTCCAACCGAATATTTTCATCTTTATGGTGATTAATCTGTTCTATTTAATTTCTTGAAATATAATCCCATGAGTTTACATGAATAACAACTTTACAGTGTATCGATTCGATGTCTGCTTCAATTAATAATTCACAATCAATTCCAACGGGTTTTCAGTTACTTACGCAATAATTTGTCTATCTGAGGTAATCAGAGTTCTACAGACTGTTACATGTTTTGACTGGTTCATAAATGAGCTTTAAAACAAAATCCGGTCGTCCTTGAGTTTCTGTTTAAGAAGTATACAATGCCAAGTAGATATAATTTACGAAAAAGGTATGCTTCCGTTGAATGATAATAGCATGAGAAAGTTATCCCCACTGTGTCCGAAATAATAATACCTTCCGATTAAAAAACAGCATCATAATATCGTCTTGCATAAAAAATACCAACGTAATCGAAACAAAATGTCATGAGTTATTTAAAGTCAAACTTGATAGATACTGGAAATATTAAATCTTCTTTTTTGGACTTTCTTAAGATTTGAAAAGTATATAAAGAAAACAGTTAACTAACAGATCGCTGAAGCTATCACGTGTAGCATCATAAAACGTAGCCTTTTGTACACACACAACTTGTAAGTTTCTTAGTTAATATGATCTCCTCGGACATCTTATACAGTTTTGTAATAATTTACTTGTAATATTTGTCATCTAATTTCGAACTATTTTTACAATTTCAACTTGTCTTATATTAAATTTTCTCAATCTACTAACTCTATGCTTCACTGGATATTTTTTTTCAAAATCTTAGAGGATTAAGTCAATTAATCCCTATGTTCAGAAAATCCCCATATAAAACACCCTTTCTGTAACAAAACACATTTCTGAAACATTCCAAACAGTAGAAGTTTATAGAAAAACGTTTATAATTAAACAGTTTTTATTATATGTTTTGTCCCAGTCCAAAATCTTGTATTTACTACACCAACGACTTCGTGTCTTTTGGTTACATTTTTATACTCTGGAGTTCAGTTTATGGTCTGTGAATTTCATCTCCTAATGACTGATGGTACATTAATTACCAGTGTTATCCGGTGCCATTCGTTGATACCTATCCTAAGACACCATCTAGTGAGCTGCAATAGCCAAGATTTCTCAGCAGAACTGGCTTAAGCAGTCTTGAACTTGTAGTGTACCTTGAATGTTTGAACTTTTGTTTTAACGCATTCATGTACTATGGTGCCACTTCATCTTGGTTCTTCTAGCGTGAATGCTTGCACGTGTCTCGCTCTCTCGTTGTGCTGTCATTAAGTGTACTTTTTGATCTTGCCAGCCTCAGCCACTTAACAGATAAGTTGTACACTATTGCTACATATTAATATTGGTTTTTCATTTATTATGTATAAATATAATTCTCACCGGCACATACCATCAAGTCATCAGTCTTTTTACTTTGAGTTCGTTAATTGGTACTTACACATGAGGTAGAGTATTGATCAGGGTTAACGGAGGAAAGCAAGTTAGGTAGGTGCTGACGTTAAGGACTACCTAGAGGTTGATATTGGCACTTACAAACTCATCGGAGTTTGGCATGCTTCTAGTTAAGTTTTGTTATAGAGAGAAATTGCAAACAGAACCATGTATTTTTTCAACAGTTTCAGAAGTTAGTCTTTATATTTTGTTTTAATGTATTATTGTGTCACTCAGGTACTTCAAACGCATCCAAAAACTTCAGACAACTATCTTATTGATGATAATTTTTAGTTGATTACTATACAGTTCGAATATCATTAAATTTTCTGTGTTAAGTTATCATTCTAACTGTAGACGGGAAACAGTATTATCACTTATAGTTACATATGAACTCAACTGAGCTCAAGCTACAAAAATATCCAATCAGCAAACATACTTCTCTCCATGAACAATTTCATCTTGGCACATTAATTAATCAGGTCACTTAATAAAAGCCAATAAATTATTGTGTTATAACTTTTCATTCAAAAAGTAGACAAAATAGTTTCAGATATTCAGTTGATGAATCGAACTAATTAAATTCTAAGGCAATGATGATTTCTTTTTTCCCAGTCTGTTGAAGAACACATTGGAAGGAAAGACCACTTCTAATGGTTGAAATGTTTGTAATCCTGGTAAATGACGTTTATCATTCTGATTCTCTTCCTCGTGTTGCTGTTTGTTGTTGAGTAAGTAGGCAGTTGACTGGAAATGCTGGAAATATATCGCCAAGCCTGGAGGAGACATTGTCATTAACCAACCATAGACTGTTTTGATACCTCCATACTGTAAAATGTCTACCCCACAGAGATTACGCTGTGACACAATTTTATTATTGTCTGAATGATGTTCTAGACACAGAGTCATCTTGATGAATGTATTTTAATTTATTTTGATTATATCTTGATTCCAAACCGTATTTTTGGTACAAGTATGGAATTTTCAGCATGTTATATTGGTAACCCAAATTTTGCATGCCGACCATTTATATCAGGTGTGCTTCGGCAGGGAATCGAACCCCGGACGATGTGCATGGTAGGCTAGAGTCCTAACCGCTGTGCCATCAATGTACATTAATAATCTTAATGGCCAGACAACTTTATAACATATTTTTTACTTCGTGTCTTTCTTGTTCTTCGACTTCATTACTATAGTATATACCGTTCTATTCTTTTATAAGGATTATTAGAAAAACTGTCGACTTTGGATGTCAGTCATTACATCTACAATGGACCTGACCAATCTATCTTAACATCAAATACGTAATTTTCTTTTCGTCTTTTCTTTGCATATTTGTTTCTTAATTGTATAATATTTCCTTCCCCCACCCCTTATGAGCACTGTTGTTAACTTGACTATTGTTCATTTTTAATTTTAGCTGAGCTTTAGTCGACCCTGTCAGTTAGATTACCTCACTCAACCTGCTTGTTTAATTTTATTTTAGTTTCTAACCCATTATTGAAATCTGTTACCTAAAATTTACAATTCTAATGACAAATATTTGAAATATTCACCTTGTTGCTAGGACAATTCACTACATACATGCGATTGTACAGCTTGAAAATGACATCACTGAAAAGAGTAATTCTTCGCTGAACGCTTTTACTTCCATATCTAGACCTTCGTTTGCAGGTCTACCTACTAGGGTTAAAGCATTTTCATAGTATTACCAGTCACTGCATCAACATTCAAAATATTGCCAATTGATACAAAATGAATGAAAAAAAATATTAGTCAATGAATTGATATGAGTAACAAAGTGCGCTTTCCTTTTCCGTTTGCCATTACTTTTACAGTTAACTTTAGCTGGCGATATGCTCAAAAAAGGGGTTAAAGAGCAGAAAGATCGATAGATGTGTATCTAGATATACTTGTTACTGACTTTTCATTTATTTTTCTCTCTAATTCTTCTATTTACAAATAAGTTAAGTCCCGTTTTTGTACACGAATCTGCATGTACAATGCTAACCAGTATAGTTGTTTCCTGTCCTATAAAATGAATAAAATTATTCACTGTTAAGTAGTAGGTGAACAACAATAATGATGGCGTCTAGTGTATTTGGTGAAGAAGCAAGAATATCCCTCCGAACATTTGTCGCCTAGTTAATTAATTCGTGATACATCAGTGGACAAACTATTTTCACAACATTGTGAATATGTAACCCTAGTTACTTTAAGAAAGTGTCAGCTCAGTTTTTAAAACAAAAAACTGATGGCTTATAGGATTCCATCATGGCTTAATGGTCTACTAGCCAGCTCGCGTTGTAACCAGGAGGTCATGGAATCGAACCCCGGTGGATGCGCTCTGATGAAGAGCCCCAGACTAGGATGAAACAGTTATCCAGTAATCCATGCAGGTTTTCCAATGGTTCTCTAACCGATGTCAGCTCATGATGAAATCCTGTAACCAATCAATCAAACCCCTAAAAACCAATACCTGAAAAAAACTGTTTATTCCAACGGTCAAGCAGGGCTCTGCTCAAGTGATCTCTGACTTTTATGTAATAATATCAAAAAATTGTTATTGAGACACCTCAAAGTGATACTGTTCAGTAAAACCTTCTTTCATCTTAATAAACATATAGTAGTTGATTTGAGACAGCCTGTTATTTACTGGAGCTAACGAAGCTTTTATAACATTATGACTCACTTGTTCATATAACTTAATGTTGAATGAGCAGATACTTGAAATAAAACATCGGAGCTACCTTTGCTTAGTTGAATACATCAAAAATGGTTACTTCTAGACGTTCTACTATTCGCACCAGTGTTTACAACAGAAACAACTATGTTGATATAAAGGACCAAATCCTTAAAGATTCTCTATCTAATTGTGTCTATAAAATAAAATGCTTGGAATGTGATGCGATATACATCGGACAAACATCTCGAGAAATCAAAATCAGAAGAAATGAACACAGCAAAGCATCTGTTCAACCACTGAGAAATCCAGTTGGACTAGAAAAGCGTGAAAAATCACACTACGCTGTAGAATCAGGCTACAAAATTGATTTTGACAATATTGGAATCATCATCCAGAAAAAACACTTCAGAAATCACAAAGAACGTCTCATATCAGAAGCACTTCATATCAAATGGAATCTGAATTGTCTGAAAAGGGATGATGGACTAAAACAGAATTTGACCTGGTTACAACACCTTCCTCCCCTATGAAGTGACAGAATCAACACGAACGTGATAAGCGATTTCATTGTGTAAACAGACGCTGCTTACAAAGTTTTATACACTTATCAAATTGAATAATCTACACCTGGTCTTGTTATCTTTACCAGTTGGCCAACTTGACAACGGAAAAGTGACCCCATGCTGAGGAACTATGATTAAGTTGTTATATATAGGCTGAGTGGATTTTGTAAATTCTGGTTTAACAATACTACTTTGATAAAGCTATTTAGTATTAATTAGTGAAACGTTAGTAAAAACAATATCGTTTTCTTTTTCATTCATTGGGAAATACAAAACACCTTTACTATAATGAATATCATTTACCCAATGTCCAGGTTTTTCAAACTGTTAAAAGTGAACTTGGTTTGGACATATATAAGAAATAGGATGACCTTCATTTGAAAAAAACAATATATATATATATAACCAGAAGCATATATATGTATATATAACTAAATTTTGATTCGGAAAAACACCTCAATCTGACCTTCTAAAACGGAATGAGATTTCACTACATTGAATTCTTATGACTGAGTCAGATTCTCAGTTGAAATTTTCTGGAGACTGTCATAATAGTTCTAAATTTACGGATCTACAACTCCTCCTGAGATTTAGGCAGCTTTAAGAAGCAGAAATCTAAGACTGTCTGAATCATCATAATGGTGAGGGACGTTATCATATTTTACTCATTCAAATTCGATGAAACATCACCTACTTTAATGATTGTGATCAGTGTTTGACGTAATGAATGACTATCTTCATTCAACCGTTGTAGATGGTCAGTACATTAGTTATCATAATTGTCGTCACTTAAACGAGCAGGTTGGTGCTACTTACTTCGCCTTCTCAAGAGAGGTATATGTTGGAACATCTTTAAGCATGTGCAGAAATTACTGTGCCAAAATATATTAAAATTTTTGTCTGAGATACAGTGGCGATGAAATAAGAACATGGTTTAAATTTATCAATTTTCTGACATAAGCGTATCTTATCTGTTGTGTTCATTTCATTCGCTTAAAGTAGTATAAATATGAATATAATACTTGCAATTACTATTTACTGAAGCCCCATGTTCCACTCGGAACTCAAGAGAATAATAATAATGATAATAATAGTAACGAGTACTGTTCAACAAGCGGAAAAAGATAACTGTTAGAACCAAATAAAACATGAAAATACTTTGTATAATACTCTTAACTAATTACCAAAAGAATATTGCAATAGACTTACTGTAAAAAAACAAGCAAACAAATATCTCAGGTAGAATATGGAGGAGAAATAAAAACGTAAACAGTAATTACCGATAGAAGTAATTAACAATTTTGAAAGTAGTTAAGCGTTTACATCGAAATATTTCGGGTAAATATAGTGATTTAGATAAATTCTGATTGGTGGATAATTTGTGAATTAGCTGAATGTTGAATAAATTTACCCGCCTATAATAAAACGAACAAATAATTAAATGTATATGTCAACAAATTGTACGCTACGATTCGCTAAATTCAACAAATAAATGTACATTTCAGTTTTAGAATTTTTTTTATTCTTATCTATATTTATCTTGTGATGTAATCAAAACGAGTTATGTAGGAATTCATCATGCGTTTATACAGAATTAAATAGTAGTGGAGATATGCGGATGATACATTCAGCGTGTTGAAATCTGAACTTATTCCTCAATTTCTCACACATATAAACTCAGGAGTAGACAGAATCCAATTCACTTCTGAGTTGGAAAACTAATAGAATGAGTTGGCCATGCTAGATTGTAGAATAAAATGAAAACAAGACGGTAGGTTAGATACTAGCATTCATAGGGAACCGACACACTCTAATAAATACTTAGACTTTAATTCATCCCATCCAGAATCGGGGAAGATTCTTATTATTCCTTTATGTTCCCAATGGAACATAGGGCTTCAAGCTAGACGCTTGAAGTTTCAGTAGCAGTGATATTTATTTTTACGGGATGGGATTGCTAGCCTCACGCTCAACCTTCCCTCTTCACCAGTCTTATTACTGGCTTAGTGAGGTAAGGAATGCGTTGGCCGGTGACGGAGCCCTCAACCACCTGCATGGTTGTCGAGCATTCTACCACTGTGCCACTGACGTACTTTGGTAAAGATAGGTTTGGTTAATTGTCTTTACAATCTGGCTAAGAGCCTAACTAGTAGGCCAGAAGATCTAAATAATGAAATCAAACAAACAAAGGAAGTATTACCAGTGAATAACCACCCACCAGAATTTATACGGAAATTTATGAAGAACCATAGTAAAACTAAGACTGGCAATAAAAGTGATGAAATAAACGAAAGTTATATGAAATTCCAAGCCTCTGTGGCACTGCCGTATAAAGAAGGGACGTCAGAGGCCTTACGTAGAATTCTCAGTGACTCTGGAATTAGGTTGGCATTTAAGCCAGCCAACTCTCGCAGGAGTGGCTGACGTACTCCTTTACCTCGCTAATACAGTAATAGGATTGGTAAAGGGGAAAGGTTGGGCATGAGGTTAGCAACCCTATCCCTTAAGAATAAACACCACCGCTACCGAAACTTAAAGTCTCTAGCTTGAAGCGCTATGTTCCACGTGGAACGTAAAGGAATAAGAAACTCTCTCAGATATCAACTGTGTCGGCTTAGGGAGCCAATATATCTGTGATGATACTAATGGTGAAATTGTTCAAAATAATCATAATATAACGTATAGTAATTTGAGTAGTGATACAAGTACTCATTATAATGATACTGTAGACGTGAAGAAGGCAAATTCATTATCATCAGCAGCATCATCATCATCTCAAAGTGCAAATCTGGATGGTCGCGCATCATAATATCCAACTGTGAAAAATAATATAATTTACCAAATACCATGTAATGACTATGAGGTCATTTACGTAGGTCAAACTAGTAGATAAGGATCAACTAGATTATTGCAACATAAAAAATTAGCTAAACCTATAATAATTGACCCTGCTAAGTTAAACAACCTAAAAAAGCAACTCAGCCATTGCAGTGCATTCACTTGCATGTAATCACACATTATATTTATTGACTTTCAGAAGGCTTTCCACGGCATTGACCGCGAAGTAATTTGGAAACTACTCGAGTACTACGGCGTACCCCAAATATTCATCAACCTCATTCAACAGCTGTACGACAACGGCACATGTCAAGTGATCCACAACGAAAAACTCATCGAGGCGTTTGGAGTAAACACAGGAGTCAGACAAGGGTGCTTATTATCACCAATGATATTCCTAATTGTGGTGGACTGGATCATGCGTCAGACAGTGGGAAACGAGAAGACAGGGATATCCTGGACCGACGTGAAGAACCTAGAAGACCTGGATTTCGCGCGTGGATGATTTATGTTTGATGTCACACAAAATCGAAGACTTACAAGCGAAAACCGACAAACTGGTCGAAGAAGCAGCCAAAGAAGACAGGACTCCAGGTGAACATAGACAAGACGGAGGTTATGAAAATAAACAACCAACAACAACAACAACAGCAACATCCAGCACCAATCACCATCAACCGGAGGGATTTGAAAAAGGTTACTTCATTCACTTATCTAAACAGCATTGTCTCAACTACAGGAGGAACGGACGAGGATGTCAAATCGAGAATCGGGAAGGCGAGAAACACATTCATCAACCTGAAACCAATCTGGAAATCTTCATCACTCAGCCTGCATCAACAACAAAATTCGGATTTTCAATACAAACGTCAAGTCAGTTCTCCTATACACGGATCAGAAACTTGGCGGCGGGTCACAAAGAATATTTCCAACAGTCTGTTGCAGACCTTTATCAACAACTGTCTTCGCTCTATACTGAAGATCAGATTTCCGGAAAGAATCACCAACAAGAAACTATGGGAACAAACAAAACAAGAACCAATCGCCCAACAAATATGCAGGAGAAAGTGGAGATGGATTGGACACTCGCTGAGGAGGGAGGCCGCTGGGTGACATCGCGCGTCAGACCAGTGCTCGAGTGGAACCCGAAAGGGAAGCGACGAGTGGGACGTCCAAGGGTGACATGGAGGAGATCGTGTGAGGAGGAGTCGAAACAGTATGGAGTAACATGGATGCAGGTGAAAAGTACAGCACAAGACAGAAGCAGCTGGAGACGTGCAGTTGAAGCCCTATGTTCCACTAGGAACCCAAGGGAACAATAATAATAATTTACAAGAATCTGTCTATATTATCTATATTGTGTGGGACGGGATAAGAGTATTGAAAAGCAATATAGTTGGGTGGAGAGACAGAGAAGTTAATCACTAAAGCCTTTTTCTATCGATTCAGCACCTCAGATGTGCAGTTGGAATGAAGCAACGCCATCTATACCTCAAATATGGAAAGTAGCAACAAATAACAAAAGGAAGCTGGAGAGACAGAAAAAGAGGAAATATATATAAGACAAACTGTGAGAACGTGTGGCTAAACTGATATGACTGTGAGTAGCAATCTATGCTCGAGACGTCATCCAGTTGTAAATAGTTCATCACTGTGTGATTATTGAGATAAACTTATCTAATATGGAATTTCATTCTGTCACAGTGCCCAAGTTCTACACTTGCATTACATAATTAAACATCTCCATGGGATTGTCAAAAAACAGACTTCAAAAGAGAACACACATGTTTCAGATGCTGTTTATCATTGTCAGGGTGTCTGACATTTCAACATGATTTGACTTTGCAATTAATTTTTATGAGTTGATCACAGATTGATATCAGTTAGAGAACCATTGAAAACCAGCCACAGCGAGTACTGGACAGCTGTTTCATCCCAGTTTCGCAATCATCGGCGGTAGTCACCCACCAGGTTCGAACCCACGAACCTCCGGTTACAAGGCAAGCTCGTAGACAATTCAGCGACTGGGGCCTGATTCAATGGCCAGCCAGTGCATGAATTCTAACTTCTACCAATTCGTGATTTAGCGCGACCACCAACCCATGTTATCGGTGGGACATTGAATCGGGTCCCATTGGCTGAATGGCATACGAGCTTGCCTTGTAACCGGAAGGTCCTGGTTTCGAACCCAGTGGGTGTGTACTGTCGATGATTCCCAAACTAGACTGATGAAACAACTTTCCAGTAGTACTCCAGTGCTGGTTTTCAATGGTTCTCTAACTGATATCACTCAGTGATCAACTCATAAAAAGAGAACTAATCCTTACAAACCAACTATAGAAAATTTACAATTACTGATAAGTAGTGATTTGTGAAATCATCATTTAATCATTCTGGAAGAAATATGGCTTATTCACTAGACAGAGCATCTTTGAGAGCAGCCACTGCATACAATCCTACTGAAGCACACTATCAGATAAACATTATCCCATTGAGTTGTCTCAAACCTCAAGATGTTTGTTTCACCCCATTCTGAACTTGTCAGGCAAGTCTACTCAAATCATAATAGGTCATACTGTTTTCGGTAATTCTAGAACTGAACAAATATTCATAAAACACAGGAAAAGCAGACTCGACATTTCGCAACTAGCTACAGGAGTTTCTCCTCTTTTTGTACAATAACAGAAAGACTCAATAGATTTTTACTGATATAATGATGTCCTTGTACAAATCTAAAACGTTTCAGTAATATGAATAATAACTAACAGAGTATCATTGATCAAAGACCAGAAGACTACATTTAAACAGCGGCTGTTGTGTAGTACAGTAGTTGCGTGTTGTAGACTCTTTATTCAGCTTAAGGAAGCCAAGTATTTTTTTGGCACGCACATAGATGTATTCACGGTGTCAGTTCATCTTTTCCAGGTTAAATAATAAATTTTTTCAAGAAAAAATAATTCAGAAATCATCACTAAAGCAACTTCTACTTTAAGATTAGCACAGACAAAGCTAGAGAACACCAGTAGCAAGTTTCCTTTTAAAGTCAACATTCATCAGTAAGTTCTCCTTTTAGTGTATAAATATTTGCTCGTTAGCTGAACTCCTCTACAATATCTTTCTCATGAATCTAGGCAGGAGACCAATTTTTATCAGACTCTACAAAGACTCTACATTCTATCTTCAACAACGTTTTCTTTGAATGTTTTTCAGACCCTTTCAATCACTGAATATATAAAATACATTATACTTTGAGGGGTCAGACGTTGGAATTTAATAGACTGTCAGTGTGACATAAGCTTTTTACAAATAAATCTTCGAAATAAATGATCACCTTTTCTTCCAAGTATTGGTTTTGTAGGGATTTTGTTTGATTAGAAGAAGGATTTCATCATGAGCTGACATCAGTTAGAGAACCATTGGAAAACCTGGGAGTACTGGTGCGTATTGATGGGACGAAACGGCTGTCCAGTACTCCTAGGTTTTCCAGTGGTTCTCTTACTGATGTCAGCTCATGACGAAATCCTCTATCATCTTTTTTATGGAGTTCAAAGAAATGGAACTTTTTAGCGGAATGAAT